CTTACCACTGTTCCAGCATTATCAATCATGGTGCCTAGAGACCATCATTTGTGTCTTCTCAGGAGCAACTGTGACCTGCCATCGTTTCCCCAGGCTGATATAGCTGTAAGCTGGTGACTGATGTAACTTAAAGCAGCTGGCGTTTCTTCTGGATAAGTAAATGTCAGCTGAGTCATCAGCTCATGAGCTGGGATAAGTTAAAGAAGGTCATTGAAGTACACATTCATAACAATGGCCCAAGAAAACTTCCCCGTGGAACACTTGCACCAACAGAGTGTCTTACTGATTCTGTCCCGTTGAGAACTACTAAGGTGGCATAGTGCAGAGCCGGCGACTCCTAGTGCTTGCGGTTTCACCAAGTCTCTGGTGCCATACTCGTTCGAAAGCGCCAGCAATGTCCAGTGCTACTTGCATCCTCCCCCTCCCTCCCTCCCTCCCTCCTCCTCCTCCTCCTCCTCCTCTCTCTCTCTCAGCGGGGTGAATGGGTGGCGGGAGAGACATACATATAGATAGGGGTGAAATATACCTGTAGGTTGTGAAATATATTTGTAGGGAAGAAATATACTGGTATGGGCAATGTATACTAGCAGTGAAATATACTGGTAGGGGAAAACATATAGGTATGGGTGAAATGTACTCATAGGGGTGTAAACAACTCATCGTGGTGAAATATACACATAGGTGTGAAATATGCCTATATTGTGAAATATACCATAAAGTGTGTGATATATCTAAGGATATCTAAAGAAATATTACAATAAGGGTAAAATATGACGACAGAGGTGAAATATATCATTAGAGGGTGAAGTATATGGATAAGGATGAAATATATCGGTAGGGGCATAATATACCGATAGGAGTGAGGTGTACTGAAAGGGTATGTACTGATGCAAAACTGTATTTCGTATGTGTAATAATACACATTACAAAATCATTGCATGACAGGTGGGGTCAGGGATGGGAGTAACTCCTGCTACCGTTAATGTCACACTCCCATTCTAACACTTCCATTGTAACATTTCCATTTAAACACTCCCAATTTGAAACACTCCCACTGTAACACTCCCATTGCAACAATCCCTTTGTAACACTTCCATTGAAACACTCCCATTGTAACAACAGATCACAATAATAATACAGACAGGCTCTGCTTATACAGCAGGTTAGGTTCCGGGCTGCCGCTGTAAAGCGAAAATCACTGTAAAGTGAAGCATAGCCTTGTTTCATTTTCAAATGCATATAAAAGCCTGATAACATGTTTAGACTATCATATATTAAGTGACCAATAGAGCTAGACCTAAAAAATGCATATACAGTACACACATTACTTACCTTAAAATATTTTCGTACTTAGCTTATAGTGAGTGGTGAATAAATTTATTGTAGGAAGTCTCAGCAAATGAAGAATGGGTATAATTGAAAAGCGCTACATTAGCGAAACACTATAAAACCAAGCACTGTATAGCGGGAGCCCCTCCTCTATGTGAATAACCATAGCATGCATTACAGGTCAAAAAGATGCCAGATCAGCCGGGCTGTGGCTCGTACGTCGGACTGCGTGCGGCCAGCAGTAACAGCCTAGTTGATCAGGCCCTGATCCATCGGGAGGCCTGGTCGTGGACCGGGCCGCGGGGGCGTTGATCCCCGGAATAACCTCCAGGTAACCTCCAGGTACAGTATATCTTAGCTGTTTAGGGAGGTTGGTAGTTCAGATCCCCTCCATATTAGAAGCTTCAGATCCCTGCATATTAGAAATTTCAACCCCCCCCCTCTATATTAGAAACCTCTCATATTAGAAACCTCTGACTCCTCCATATTAGAAACCTCAGATCCCCTCCATATTAGCAGCAATACTTCATATATATATATATATATATATATATATATATATATATATATATATATATATATATATATATAATATATATTATATATATATAGACAAATCCTTCACATAGTTATTAACCTCTTCATATAGCTAATACAACCCCTCATTAACAGTAACAACCCCTCCATATTAACTAACACCACCACTTCAATATATGCAGGAAACTCATATTCACAGCAACCCATCCATAGTAGCACTAATAACACCAACTACATCCTCTATATTAACAGCAACAACTTCATATTAACACCAACAACCACTCCATATTAACAGCAACAACCACTCCATATTAGCAGCAACAACCACTCCATATTAACAGCAACAACCACTCAATATTAACAGCTATAACTTGCCCATATTAACAGCAACAACCTTCCATATTAACAGCAATGACAATTACCTATTAACAACAACTACCCTACAAGTGTAACAACTGTTCTATATTAACAGCAACAAGCCCCTCACACTAACATACCTGTGACGTGTTTCAAGGGTTTTACTCGCGCAGCTCGGCCGTCGATTAGGCTTCTTCGCTGACAGATTGTTCAATCAGGCTGTTGGTGCTAGTGGGCTGCAGGCCACTAGCACAGCCAACAACCTCCCTCCATAGTAACATCAATAACCCAACCATAATACATCAACAATCTCTTCATATTAACCTCATAACCCAGCATTATAACCAACAATGTATCAATATTAACATCAATATTACAAATATAATAACAAGAATTTACCCTTAACATCAATAACCCAACCATGATACCAACAACCTCTTTATATTAATATCAATAACCCAGCCATAAGAACATAAATAGCCTCTCCGTGCTATCAAAAATCTCTTTACACTAACGGCTTCATTAACGTCTAAAACAACTTAAAATGAACTTCTTCAATTCTTTATTTGCATGAGAGTACAAATGGTTTATGTATACCGACAATAAATTTTGTTAAACGGACACATTTGTAAGTTTGGGTATTTTATTTAGGATGCGTTTCGCTGTGACCTCAGTGAATCAAGTGAGGTTAGATTAGGTAAGGTGCGTCAGAAAACAGGACAAGTCTTCCCTAACGGGGGTCTTAGTTCATATGACCCGCAGCTGGAGGAAGTGATGCTTCATAAAACTCAGTAAGCGATACGTAGTTAGGTCTCAATATCCAAATCCTGTAAAAGTGTTCGTTTACGTAAATCTGTTGAAAATCCTCCATGTTAATAAATACTATTGGTGGAGAAGCACTAAACCCGTAGGGGTCATGCAGCACCAAGGGAATAAAACTTATAGGTTTAAACCAAGTAGGGGAGGTCCAATTTTTTTTATCAAGAGCCCTCACCGGCGTTAATTAGCCTCTCTCCATGTTAAAAGTTACTCGTTATGAATAATAACATTAACGACCAAAGCTATTCCATTCTAGCTGAAGCAAACCTTCAGTATAAAGCAACACTCTTCACAACACTTTCGTCTTCAAAAAAGCCTAAAATGCCTTAACATTGCCTACTACCCTCTGTGTTACCTACAACCATTACATAAAAACAACACTAAAATTACAACCTTGTGCATACCAATTGCCACAACAGGCCTGCGTGATGAGAAATTTCTTGCCTTCCTAAGTTTTCCTACTCCTGTAAACTCACGAAACCCATCCAAGTTACTGTATACAATAGGCTTTAGTGGCCGTGATCAAGTTTTGGTGACTGGGGCAACAAGCGGGCATAATGATACACGAGTGTGATACGTATATGCCGTGCCGAATAGGCAAAGCTTGCGATTTTGGTTAAAATAGCAACGCTCTTCTTGCCGAATAAGGCAAGCGAAAATTTGTGTATGCAGTAATTTCGCAAAAATCATTCTGAACCTAACGAAAAAAATATATTTTATTGTGTCTGTTTATTATTAAATTACTGTAAACTTATGTAAAATATATTTAGTTGGATTAGGCTAAATGACACTGCGTTTGTTATAATAAGGTTAGGTAAGTTTTTTAAGGTTCTTTTGGTACAAAATTATTAATTTTTTACATTAATATAAACGATTCTTGCTAAATGACCAATTTTACCTATTCGGCACGACATGTACATGCAAAGCAAACCTTCGTCTTAAATGGCATTTCCCTCAGGATTGAGGGAGCCTTTATAAAGACATAGGTATAGAACTAACTTTTATGACAATATTTCGTTCTGTATAGAGCATTATCTTATTTTTTATAAACCTGCGTGGGTCATCCAGCGGAAGGACTGGAGGCTCGATCCTCAGTCAGCTAATCATGAGACAGACGCGCTAATCTTGCAGGCAGCGAGGCTCAGTAAAGAATAGCAGAGCTAAAGTCAGTGACAGTGACAAACAGTAAAACAGTACAGTAAAATGGTGTCACAATTTTCAAAAATTTCATTAGTGTGGGCCTTTATACCTTTGATATACATTTTTCATTTCATGAGTTCCAAGTTTTTCTACTCCCGGAGCCCGGTTATGGCCCAGGCAACAATAGCCTGGTCAACTAGGCTGTTGCTGTTGCTGATCCGCAATACGCCTTTCTACCAACATGATAAATCTTAATCCTGGGCGAAATGCTGAGCGTGTTTCCTTCCACCTACTGTCCCTCTTCACCCAGTAGTAAGTAGGTACCTGAGTGTTAGTCTACTGGTGTGGGTCGCATCCTGGGGGACAAGACTGAAGGACCCCAATGGAAATAAGACAAAGTTCTCGATGACGCACTGACTTTCTTGGGTTATCCTGGATGGCTAACCTTCCGGGTTAAAATTTCAAACAAATCTTATCTTATCTAACCAACATCAATGGAGGATACAAAAAACCCATATATTTGGCAGACTCCTCATCCAACTATTTACATAAATTTTTAGTAGACAAGAGACAATTACAGTAATCGATAAAAATAATGACTGCTCTGAAAGTAAATATACGAGTGTCACCCGTGATATAAAACACCGTTCTCATTAAGGTGGAAGATTCTTTAAAATGAAAATCCTCGATATTTCTGATGGCAATCCCACTTCGTACAGCCATGATGCTCTGTATAATACATATTTCTTTAGATTACTCAATGGGCACAAAATAACTAGTATTTCAGCTTATTTAAGAATTAATTAGACAAGACTCACCACGCTTGCACCATTCAAGAAGTCCCCCTCATCTCCCATGGTAGCATCGGAGGTGGGTGTTAGGGCATCGGAGGGCGGGCTAATAGTTGCGTTGGTGGGTGTGGCGGCCTCGTCTGTGGGCGTTTGGGGGCTTACACCCTTGTCGTTCCCGCTCTTGTCGCCTGCTGCAAAATGAAATAAAATGTGAATGTAACATTGAAACACTGCAACGGAAGAAAGCCTAGGCAGTAAAATACAAATGATAACGACTAACATGAAACGCTCCCAAAATTTCCTTGACTATATATTATGTTGAAAGAAAGTTTAATACAAATGACAAAGGTAGCAATTAAGACTCAGTGCTACATTATAAGTATTCGTTGAAGAACAAACAAAGGTTGCAGAACTAGCTTTTACTGGGAAAACGTTTCGTATGCTATTTTACCATACGAAATATTTGCCATGAGACAGCATTACAAAAACTAATGGAAACGAATAGCCTTTACTTAAAATTATTTCATGTTACAGTAGTCATGCATCGTTACATCATGCATTAGCTGTATCTGTTCGTACAGCATTTGCCACCCTGCTGGGAACCCCAACATCGGGTAAGGTTGCCTCATGTAACCAGAGCATTTACTAATCTTTCTGCTCGTTACTATTCAAAGATACATCAAGACGTGTAAATAGGTGTCTTAACATAACTTTCGTGTAAATAGGTGCCTTAACATGACTTTTTACCACGTCATGTCGATAAAACTACATAGATCGAAACGCTCTCCCACTAATAATTGGTACAACAGCTTATATCTTCTCTTCCCTATTGTTGGCAGTGTAGAACACTTCAAGAGGTAACTGGACAAGTAACTCCACTAAATGCCAGGTCAACCAAGCTGTGATGAATATGTGGGCCAGTGGGCCGCCAGAAGCAACAGCCTAACTGACCTGGCAAGCACCAGACAAGCCTAGCACAGGGCCGGGTTGCGGGAGTAGGAAAACTCAAAACCCGTCAAAGGCAAAGTAGCACACCATTTAGATTAAGCAATGGTAAATCCCCCCCCCCCCCTTTTAAAACCAAATTTGTTCCAGTATGAACGACTTTCATTTCAGGACGTCAAGAGATAGACACAAATGCGGTGTGCTGTGTAAAACTACATGATTTGAAAAGCCCGAAACGTTATTAATAAAGAATCGCACTGTACTGCATATATTTTTATTCATCGTGTCGGTATTTTATAACATTTCTCTCTAAGGACCTCAGTGGCAATATGCTCATATTTTTTATGGTGCTAGGAGGGTTGACTGTTGGTTGAATCATGATTTATCACTGGCTTTGTAGATTTAGATGTATATCGGATACGAGTCAAGGATGCAATTCGCATAGACGCTAACATCAAGCATACTTTCATTCCAAAGACTAAGTAAAACAAACTCTTAGTGCATATATTCTGAGATACCTCAGTCTATGTAACCTGTCACTATTTAACTTTAAACCCCCAATCCACATAGATACCAATCCCAAGAATACTTTATCCCCGAAGATGGAGATTAAAACCGAGTGTACATACTATGGCATAAAACCTTGGTAACTGATACCGACAAACTGGTTTAAAAAGACATGTAAGCAAACACTTGGATATATTAGAAAACGTTTCGGTCCTGGGACTTTGTTCACTTTTAACACAACACAAATCACGTGACCTCACTTTATCTGACTTTATCTCAAATAAGTTTCACTTGCATTTTTCAGGTCACTGTCATTCACACCCCACTCTCTGCCTATATTTACTATTACTGTCAACTTCTGTTAGAAGTGATCAAAGCCCCAGGACCGAAACGTTTTCTAATGTTCAAGTGTTTGCTTATCTTTTTAAACCAAACACTACTATACACCCATTGATGTACATACCCTGTTTGTGGTTAGTGTGTTAAATTTAGGCTTATCGACAACTGACACGAACATTAATATCTAATTTTCTTTCCAATAGATTAAAAAAATATACTGCGGAAAACTAACATATACCACATACCAAAAATCTATAACATGAATAAAAAAAAAAGATGACAATAACCTAGTCAATATACTGTTGCTGACTGCCATATTCACGGGAAAGAGCTAAACCTGTAAGGGTCACTTAGCAAATAGGGAATGAAGGTAATACAGTAGAAAAACGGGGGGGAATCAAGAGCCCTTCACAGAAATCAAGGCCCCCCTCTTAAGTGAATTGTTGAAAAATACGGCGTTGCTTATCAAATACACTAAAACAGCTAAATGCGAAGACTGCACAAGATAGCTAGCAGCAACAGGTGACAAGAAATCAAAAAGTGCTCTTTCCACTTTTTATAACGAGGAAAAAAATAGTTAAATACTATATATGTGTGTGTGTGTGTGTCGTGCCGAATAGGCAAAACTTGCGATTTTGGCTTAAATAGCAATGCTCCTTTTGTTGAACAAGGAAAGCGAAAATTTGAATATGCAATAATTTCGCAAAAATCATTCTGAACCTAAAGAAAAACTATATTTCATTGTGTTTGTTTATTATTAAATTACTGTAAACTTATCTAAAATATATTTAGTTGAATTAGGCTAAATTAAATTGCACTTGTTATAATAAGATTAGGAAACTTTTCTAAGGTTCTTTTGGTACAAAATTATTATTTTTTTCATTAACATAAATGAAAAAACACATCTTTAAACGTATAAGAGAAAAATTAAAAAAGGACTTAATTTTAAACGAGTTCTTGCTAATTGGCCAGTTTTTACCTATTCGGTCCATATATATATATGTCGTGCTGAATAGGCAGAACTTGCGATCTTGGCCTAAATAACAACACTCATCTTGCCATGTAAGACAAGCGAAAATTTGTGTATGTAATAATTTCGCCAAAATCATTCTGAACCTAACGAAAAAAATATATTTCACTGTATTCGTTTAGTATTAAATTATTGTAAAGAAATCTAAAATATATTTAGTTGGGAAAGGCTAGAATAAATTGTTCTTGTTATAATAAGGTTAGGTAAGTTTTCCAAGACTTTGATGAAAAATTATAAATTTTTACATTAACATTAATGAAAAAAATATATCTTTAAACGTATAAGAGAAAATTTTAGAAAGGACTTAATTTTAAATGAGTTCTTGCTAATTGACCAGTTTTACATATTCGGCACGACTATTATATATATATAATATATATATATATATATATATAATTATAATTATATATATATATATATATATATTAATATTATATATAAAATATTATATATATATATATTATATAATATATATATGTCGTGCCGAATATGTAAAACTGGTCAATTAGCAAGAACTCATTTAAAATTAAGTCCTTTCTAAAATTCTCTTATACATTTAATGATATATTTTTTTCATTAATGATAATGTAAAAAATTATAATTTTGCACCAAAAGTATCTTAGAAAACTTACCTAACCTTATTATAACAAGAATAATTTGTTTTAGCCTAACCCAACTAAATATATTTTAGATTTGTTTACAATAATTTAATAGTAAACAAACAGTGAAATATATTTTTTTCGTTAGGTTCAGAATGATTTTGGTGTAATTATTGCATACACAAATTTTCGCTTGTCCTATATGGCAAGATGAGCGTTGCTATTTAAGCCAAGATCCCAAGTTCTGCCTATTCGGCACGACATATATATATATATATATATATATATATATATATATATATATATATATATATATATATATATATATATATATATATATATATATATATCATGAACTACAACACATGTAATTCATCAGCTGTGTAACTGTATTTATGCGTTACTTAACTCTTAAGTAAGGTTTAAGCAACTAGCATCCCTGGGAGGTGAACGGGCATGTTGGGTTACTCTCCCATAGCGTCTGAAGTTACAGGATGAGCTGCTGGTCCCAGGTGAGGCACGCAACCACCTCTACCCCCTCCCCCCCAGATACGTGCCCAACCGCTCTCACCTGGGTATTACACCACCCACAACGTTCAACATGACATATCATTTTTTTTATACTTGAATTAAGAAAGGAGAACCGGTTGTGGTTTATTGCGGGCTGGCTCCACTACCTGAATTCGTTTTTCATAACGATTCGTGACTTGCGCTTTGTCAACGCCCGAGGGCCGCTAATCTTTTCCGGGACGTCAAGCGTCAAGACACTGCAGCTTTATCCTGGCCCCTCTGTCACGCTCCCCTCTCTCCGTGTCTTTCTCTGCTCTGCCATTCACTCACTCACTCCCTTTACCCTTGTTCGTACTACGTTTTACGCCATGTTCCTCTAAAATTTGTATTAGGATCTGATCCCCTGGCGAGTCGAGAGGGATGAGCAAGTCACTCTACACCTGCTGACCTTATTCATCTAGCAGAAGATATCTATGAAGAGCAAAGAGCCCCAACGGAAATAAGTCACACTGTTTGGCTTTCTTGGTTATCCCTCCGGTTAAATAATTAGAAGATACTTCTGGTATTCATTCGGCTTATTTTACCTCCTCCCTCTCGTTCTTTTATCCCCTTTCCCTTTATGCAAGTCATGTGGAGAGAGGATTAAGGTGTTCGCTCCCTTCGGGTGAACAGGCTCCCCCTGCTCTCCCTGTTTAAACCTGGGTGTCTTGTGAGTTTCCTCTCACTGTCTCCCGCAATGACTCACATCCCCGCTGGCCCAGAGAAAGAAAAGATTCGACGTAATTTACATTTTACGACGGCATCATACGTTGGAGGTTGCCGCTGAAATTGGGTTGATAGTTGATGTAATCTTAAATCTATATTCTGGACCTCGCTTGACCTACCTCGACGCCAGAATTATCTTCCCGCTCTCTCTCTCTCTATCTCTCTGTCCCCACTACCAACGGTGACATGTGACCCTGACCTGGCGATCGATTAGATGAAGAAAGGACCAATCGAAAGGGGTCGTGGCGGGAGGTGGTACTGAGAGCTCCTGAGGGGAAGGGGGAGGGGATAATAGGCGAAACGGCTGACGAAGAGGAAAGGGTCGTGTGTAAGGGGAAGAGGGAGGGAGAGGTCGGTGAAAGCCAGGGGAAAAGAGGTGGTAGCAGAGTATCAAATACATCGGATACACAATTAATATGGTGCTCGTACGGTGATTATTAGTAGTCAAGTTGTAAATTAAGTACTGACCATATATAACTAACAATCTTTATATAAC